TATATTTTTAATAGAATTTTCACATCAGGGATATTCTTCTTCATAATTTGCCCTTATTTACGTCGTGTGTATAATCGCTGTAATTCAGCAGTGGCCTCGATCGACTGGCATATCGAACAGGCTTGTAAAGGTTGAACATAACGAAGCGAGGCACAAATGTCAGGCATATACCACGACATTTACACAACACACCTCCAGCAAGATGAATGATGAAGAACGCCAGGTATATTGGTATCATAATCTACTATGTTGTTCATAAATCTTCAATAAAACGAATTGTGTTCGACAATTCGATGAATTTTCTTAAACTCATACGTTTTGTAGACGAAACAATTGTTTTTTAGATCAATATTGTGAAATACTTGACCGATCGGCGATCACAAGTTCTTAATCGTTAATATTAAACAACGTTTGAAATTAAACAATGTATTTTTATTAGTGAAAAATTACAAGCATGACAGTCTCCAGGTAATAATTTAAAAAATATTTACAATCATTTTATCGCAAAAACGTAAAGAAACTTTCGAAATTTATAGTTAGACGTTTATTTGTACTCAAAACCGGGTTTTTTTGTTCCAAGGAAGTTAAGATCACGTTATTTCAATGCTACTAAATCAACATCAAAATTTTTTTACCAGTAAATCTAAATCAAATCATTTCGTTTTCACAAGTTATTGAATATTTTTGTGTCCATGAAACCTCATAAATGAAAATAAGGTTTACATCTGCTTTCATATTGAGAAATATTAAATATATAAATTCGTTTAAAGACTAATTTACACCTCAAATATCAGTTATTCACAAAAAAATATATCACGATTTTCGAGAACAGTCTCTGGCACAGCGAACATATCAGCAATGACCGCATTGCATGCCCAGGCTCATCTGAAGCACTTATGACATTCCGGCGCTCGGAAATTACTTGATGTTCTCTTGCCTATCCTGCACTATACTTCAGTAGAGCAGAAGGATTGAGTTGCACGCGTTATGCTTTGCAATAAATGCAGCTGTATCAAGCAAAGGAAAAGGCAATATATTTGAAACTTGGAGGTGGCGAAAAATTTTATAGTTGCCTAGCTTAGTGACTGCTCTAGGTTTCTCACGTAAATTTGTTACCATCTAAGATAATTTAATTTAAAGAGGAAAATCGGACGTAAATGAATTCAAATTATGTTATAACTGGGAGTTAAAAAAATCCTCGCAGTCCTGTAAAGTCTTGCTAGTCCGGGAGTAAGTGCAATGCTACTTTTCAACGATGTTGCTAATATTATGTATCGCCTAATCCATAACCTGCGTGTCCACGAGTACTTTAGGATTCGTATATTCATGAAATATTCATATTTCGTAACCAAACTTATTGATGAAAACATTTCACTCATAGAAAGTGAAATTTACATATCGTAATAGAATAGAATAGAAGTGTCGGCACTGAAGAAATAGGCCCATGGCCTGTTGCCGATTCTTGAACTTTTCGTGACTTGATTCACAAGGGATCCGTCGAGACGGTAGCGTCGGTCCTGAAGAATTCGTGTGCAAGATGTCAGTCTTTCTCAGAGGAACCTTACCTGAGCTGGTGGACTGTGAGTGATGAGTTTCTGGATGAATTCGACGAATTTTGAAAGTTTTTCTGCACAACTTTTGTACGTAGTGGATGAATAAAATAAAGTGACGGACATCACGGAAATTCTTGAATCGAGCAATTACTTTCGTAATTGATAATCACTTGTCTACCAACTAGTGTTGGTAGACCAGTCTAATTTTGGTCTACCAACTAATGTTTGGTAGACTCTACCAAACTAGAGTGTATAAACTGCAGCGAATCTCACAATATATCACCGGATATTTCTCAATATGAAAGTCTTTTTCAATCAAGACCAAGATATTGCGCCGCAATAACCCATTTTGTTTGATTTATTCCAACGACTCAAGGGTGTATTTTGATGTAGGAATCGACAGTCGGTTTACTGTTGCTATGAAGTTTTTTTAACTGCTATGGAGCGTGTGAATTTTCACAGACTACAACAGTGTAGACACCTGTTATTATGTTTACAGACTAAAGGGCGTCGATTAAAGCCGATATACATTGCACATACTTGCATACTGTTATAACGTAGACAGTATTTCAGTGCAAACTGCCACTACATGTCCTTTATATTAACACTGTGCGGACTGCTAGAATGCGGGCAATATGCCCCTATATTGCAGACTTCTAGTGTCTGCAATAATACCTTATATTACAGAAGGCTGGTTCCTGCAATATGCCTCTATATTGCAGACTACTAGAATGTGGGAATATTACGGACTGTTATTGTCTGCAATACGCCACTGTATTACAGACTGACAGCGTCCGAAATAAGCCACTGTATTGCAGACTGCTAGTGTCTGCAGTATGCCAACATATTACAGACACCTAGTGTAAGCAATATGCCCCTATATTACAAACTGCCAGCGTCAGCAATATAATCCTATATTACAGACTGCTAGTATCTGCAATACGCTCCTATATTACAGACTGCTAGTGTCTGCAATACGCCCCTATATTACAGACTGCTAGTATCTGCAATACGCCCCTATATTACAGACTGCTAGTGTCTGCAACACGCCCCTATATTACAGACTGCTAGTATCTGCAATACGCCCCTATATTACAGACTGCTAGTGTCTGCAATNCAGTAAAAAGTATTTAAATCATTAGAAGGGATGACAAATAAACGTTGGACAGTATAGAGTGTTTTCTCACCTTAGAAAATGTAAATGGACAGCTTTTTGAAGTAAACTCAGTAGTTTTATCTTAAACAGTTCCTCCGGTAGTAATATTTGGTAACTTTTATTTCTGGTAACATCAAAATGACTAACATTATTAAACGAAATTGAATTAAACTTTTTGCGGTTTTTCCCTCTGCAATAAAGAATTGCCAAAATCGAAATGAACGTGTCAGGCGACAATGGAAGCCATTCAATTTTATTATTATTTTGTATATTTTCTATTTCTTGCTCTCAACCCGGCCTCTTTTTCTCGATTACCATCAAATGTCAAATTATGGAAGCCATTCAATATAACAAGGTTATTCCACCAGAACAACCCGGCCATTCGTCCTAGGCTGTTTAATGATCGACTAAGCACGAGTTATTCCTACCAGAGTAATTCTGTCATTAGCTGGTATGGGCTTGATCAAATTATGACCATATTATCGCTCAAAGTTATTATAATTAATCAAATTAAGGCATTCCTCAGCCTAATTTGAAATTCGCGTAGATGCTTCGCTATCCAAAACCAAGTTGAGGTTGCCAAAGGGTTTCTATGCTAGACAAGCACAGTTTTGAGAAAAAAATATTTTATTTTGTCATTCTTCAGTCAAAGTTCCTGTTTCGGTGCACGACCTCCATTAACAAACGCTTTTTGGATGCTCTAAAATAAATTCAGTATAAGCTCAATGCCATGTAGCCACTTTTTTCGATTGCAAAAGTCGGCTGTATGTAATTGGGATGAACTTTGTCAGAAGTTTTGGCGATCTAAAGTAACTTGTATATTCTAAATTTACTGAAAATTAACGCTATTAAAATGAGTCTTACGAATCCTGAGGCATCACACTTTTATTCGTATTTCAAAGTTTCTTCTAAATAATACCTGAAGCTGAACAATTTTTTCACAAATTTCCGCAACAGGCACTGTGAATTCTTTAAAAAAACGATGTACAAATAATAGAAGTTAATAAACTTCAATAATAATAATAATACAATAATAATAACAATAGTGAAAATGATTCAATCAAAAATAAATAATTAAAAGCTGGAAGCACAATATATATTTTTGTATATGAATGAAATCTTCCTGGGTTTTTAGACTGGTTGAATTAGCGTCATTAAGCTCCAGTTTGGGATTTTTTCATTCAACTGTGATTGAATATTAATAATAAAAAATATCGATCGAATTAAATATAGCTAAAGAATTAAAACAAGTTCTTTGATAAAACGGATAAAATTTTAATGATTTCCAACGCGGTCGAACTATAAAATATAACATTATTATAACAAGATGCGAGAGTTCTCCGCAATATATTGTTTGAGCCGAGCTTGTTTCTTCGAGATACAAGACAATAGCTGCAACAACAGCTTGATTTGCTGGCGCTGTGTCCTGCTATTTGACTTGCAGCAGCCATGTTGGACTTTCAGCAGCCATGTTTGACTTGCAGCAGCCATGTTTGACTTGCAGCAGCCATGTTGGACTTTCAGCAGCCATGTTTGACTTGCAGCAGCCATGTTTGACTTGCAGCAGCCATGTTGGACTTTCAGCAGCCATGTTTGACTTGCAGCAGCCATGTTTGACTTGCAGCAGCCATGTTGGACTTTCAGCAGCCATGTTTGACTTGCAGCAGCCATGTTTGACTTGCAGCAGCCATGTTGGACTTTCAGCAGCCATGTTTGACTTGCAGCAGCCATGTTTGACTTGCAGCAGCCATGTTGGACTTTCAGCAGCCATGTTTGACTTGCAGCAGCCATGTTTGACTTGCAGCAGCCATGTTGGACTTTCAGCAGCCATGTTTGACTTGCAGCAGCCATGTTTGACTTGCAGCAGCCATGTTGGACTTTCAGCAGCCATGTTTGACTTGCAGCAGCCATGTTTGACTTGCAGCAGCCATGTTGGACTTTCAGCAGCCATGTTTGACTTGCAGCAGCCATGTTTGACTTGCAGCAGCCATGTTGGACTTTCAGCAGCCATGTTTGACTTGCAGCAGCCATGTTTGACTTGCAGCAGCCATGTTGGACTTTCAGCAGCCATGTTTGACTTGCAGCAGCCATGTTTGACTTGCAGCAGCCATNGGCATTTAATGCATGTGAAGCTTTGACTGAATATTCAAAGAAACAAGTCAGATCACGGCATTCGTGGCCGCATTGGAGAAATTCTTCAATTTTTGTGAATTCTTGTAGATGTTTTGATTTAATTAAAAAAATTCTACTAATTTTTTGCCCTTTACAATGATGTTTTAGAAGACTGTGACTTAAACAAACATTTCAACCCACTGATGTTGAATTCAAGATGGCCGCTACGTACAAGGGTTACTCGAAGCTCGCCGAAAAACTTGCGCGAGTGACTCACTGTAAGTCGTTAAACAAATTATTAATATCAATACAATAGGATCAAATGATATAATTTGCACTGAACCATTTTTTCGATTACAATTTGGCTTTAATCGTACATCAATATTATAGAACTATTAATTTATTTCCTTTAGATATTGTCTTCATTGAATATAGTTAAAAAGTATATTCGTTTTTATCAGTCATGAAACTTTGACATTTGTTGAATCTAACTACTTTTTCTTGGTCATCACCTTCAAACAGCTGCTTAAGTTGACAAAATAATAAACTAAAATTTTAGTTGCGCAGCGAAAACAGTAGGTATACTCATTTATGTATTTCTTATTTTATTCACTAAATATTCAATTGCAATATTATATGTGAATTAACTGTATCTAGGTCAACGGTTTTTGCAAAAAAAAATATTTTTTTAACTCCCATGTCAAAATTTTTATTATATCTCATAGACCGATTAATAGGTATATATAAATTTATTATTAAATACCCTTTCTATAATCATTTATTAGGTTTTTAAAAGTAATATTATAATCTGCCAGTTACGTGCGAGGAGACAGACTGTCTGCTCAATATGTACGACACCGTTGCGGGCGGTTGCCGGCTCGACGCCAACCGGTAAATATATGTAAATCTTCAAAGTTAAGTTAATTCTTAAAGTCAAGTCTTATCTTTAAGTTATTACCTAATTCTTAAAGTCAAGTCTTTTCTTTAAATTACTTTAAAATACAAACTTAAACTATTTAGAAATTTCACGCCTGTCATAGAAGAATTTCCACCTTTTGTGAACATTTTTTTAGAGCAAATGATGCTGATAAGCTCTACCGTATTGGTTAGAATATAAAGTAATAAATTTATTTACTTACAGTCTTTTACAGTAGAAGAATAGAATAGAATAGTTAGACGGTAATTTTGCCAATTTATTATTTGATGCGAAAAATATTAGAATCTGTTTGTTCAAGGCTATAAATTCGAAAATTTATCTAGACAACGTAGAAAATTTTAAAATTATCACATGAGATAAATTCGTCAAACTTTCCTATAAAATTCTACACATATTTCCAAGTATGAGGTTAAAGATTTCAAAATGAAAAATTCATCGAACAAATTTAAATTAACAAAATTTATCATCACTATAAGATAAACGTGTAATAATAATTTATAACCTCTACAAATGAAATAAAAGTCCCAGAATATTTTAATTTCTAACTATGGCCGCAACAGGTTTCGTGACGTCATGCATGCAGTGTTTGGCATGACTGATGACGTCATGCTCGAGTACATCTTCCAGGTGATTTTTTTTCAAGGCGGAACGCTTTTTTTTAAGTGAACCTCTAATCTTAGATTTCCACTCTGTACCTATGTACAATTTGTAGAGGATAGGAACTGAATGCAGCATTTAAACTTGGTTTCTGTTTGAAAATATACAATGATTCTAAAATTTGTAAGGCCTAGGTCAGAAACACTGGGTGTGGAGGCTAAAATTCTAAAATCACTATTGGACACAGGGACGTTGCACTGCTTGGCATACGCATGAATACGTACGGCTGAATGGTGAATGAGGGGGATGCGCAAGTATGTTCCCTGTTCTATAACTCCTGCCCCTGCCCCATAATGATATTATAGTTTAGAGTTGACAGAGGGCTTGGGGGCCAGTGTAGAATTCTGTATAGGTAATATATTCTCATGTCAATATAAGAAAACGTATCAAAATACCAACCCTACCACTGCATTACACCACCTTCCACTGCAATGAAAATTTATGAACTGAGCACATTTGAAACGGCTGTACTTCCGAAATCCCGCGTGGTTTGAAGTTCAATCCCGTGTTGCCAACGACTAATCAAGTTAACTAGTCATTTATCTGTAGGCTAGCGGACACATTTTTGCAATTAATACGTTCTAAAATAAAAAAAAAACATCCAGCTTCATAAAAAATTCTCACGATTGGACAACACTCACAAAGTTTTCGATTTCACATAAAATTATGAGATAAACTTCGACTCTTTCACTGCATACATTCACATGGTGTTTTCTGTTTACTTCTCACAAGACGGTGTCACACACTTATGTTTTGGTTGTGTCTAGTTTGATTTCACAATAAATAGACTTGATTCACATTCCATTATGAGATTTAAATGATTGAAAGTTTTTTTTAAATTATAAAAACCTATTTATACGTTCCAGATTTGAATTTTTTGCCCTATTATGTTGAATTTATCTTGATAAATTGACTTCAAATTCTGAATGATTTCGTCTGCCATCCCGCGTTTTCGAACGTTTTGTGTCTTTTAGAAAATTTTCGTTGTTTAATATGGGAAACTATTTCATTATAGAAAACA